TATTCAATATCTTCGTAATAGTAAAATGTAAATAAACACATTTAAAATAATCGCTTTAAGCTTTCTAAAGAAATACCTCACAATGAAATCTGTCAGGAAAAGGGGAAAGCGCACGTAAAACGCTTATTAAAATCGCGGAAATCTTTTATAGACTAAAAAGTGATTAACATAGATATTATTTAATTAGCATCTATTTTATGGACATTATTTTACGAATGCTGCCTTTCTCTCTCTCTCTCTCTCTGTCATAAATTCTAAATAGCTTCCTGCGAACTATTAATATTAATAAAATTTATATGGTATGTTTTTTGTTAGATCGCAAAAATAAAAATAGAGTTTTTTAAATAAATTAAAAATAAAATTATTTTATCGGAGCGACATATTGCAATAACGAGTATTATATTTCAATTACGAGCAATTTCGTTTTGCATGCATATTAATAATAGTAAGTTTTAAGTGCAATTTATTGCTTTTTGCCGGAAATAGGTCAAAAAATGAGTTAAACTTAAAGTACTCTTCTATTATTACGATGTAATAACGATTTATAGAGCACAATAATTGCAATAATCGTGTTCGTAGAAGAGAAAATACCGTCGCGTGCAACGCTAATTGCAACTTTACTAATATCAAATCATATCGTAACATTTAAAAACATTACATGTACGTTAGATTTTATATATTTCCTTCTTGACGACTGAAATATTTGTGAGATTATAAAGTATAATATATATGCACAATCGTTACTTTAATAATTCAACATTTTTATGTCAATTTTTTATAAATATGCAGATTTTTGCATAAAGATAAACACAAAGTTTAATGTGCGCAATAAGTATTTTTAACACAGTTATAATTTGGATGTACTTTGTATGTTACAGATAAACTTGTGAACAATTCCGCTGCTGCTTTATCGGTGAGTAAATCCAATGTTGAATTTTATTAAGATAATAGATTCAAAAATGATGTAAAATATACAGGGAGTCTCAAATCGAACACACCATCCATTTAATAGCAGATTTCTGAGGTTATTTGCAGACGAAAATCTGAATGTCAAAATTTTGAAGATCTAATTGGTCAACTTTAAACATTTAAAAACTATTAAAGCGTCGACATTTTAGTATCTGGGACGCTTTGTATACAATTAACTTTCAGAGTGCACTTTGAAATCTTTATTTTGCAAAAACATGCGTCGCATGTTTTCATCATTTACGGAAAGATTTGTCGTACTCGGTTATAGAAACGATACACACATTATCTAGTTGACGAAACAATCTTTTATCCCGAAACGGGCCGCGCGAATTTCGGGAACGCATTTTTGTTTTGCGAATTCGCGCGACGGGTATGCTTTCAGCAACCGATATTAGCGGAGGAAGCTCTTTCTTTATCTCTCTACAGTCGCAGTAACGAAGAGAGGTGTCTGTGGATTAGACAGAAACGCGGGTAAAGCAACCGTGTACAAAAGCCATAATGGATACAATAGCAGCGAAACAGAAACGAAGGATTCTACGAGATGAAACGGATTCGACGAGATCCCGATCTCGCGCTTCCATCTTCCGCTTTCTCATTACTTCCGTCCCCCCCCCCCCTCTCTCTCTCGTGTAAAGATTACTCGAGTCTCGGGACGATGTATTACCGAGCGCATTCAATGGCATAGCAGCATCGCCGTACGTTTCCCTCACAACACGTATATATACTCGCTGTCATAGAATTATTTCAATGCGACTATCTAGTCTCTCCTAGCTGGAAATTTAATGAGTCCGGCTTTCAAGGAAGAATTCCATCACGACCAAATGCGGTGGATTTATTATTGATCCTGCTCGCGGCATTGAAATCACGATATAATATACGCGGCGTCTCGTCGCAAAATTCACATTACTAACTTCAATATCGTCGAGTGGAGGAATTTCGGGTGAAAAATATTCGATAATCGCTATTGTCACAAACGGCGAGGATATTGAAACCCTTCTATCGAAAGTGATTTTCAATAATAAGAAAAAAATGATTCCGGGTACGTTTGAAAATCTGTTAAAAGTTTCGAGAACCCCGAACACACAGGCAATTGTTTACCAATTGTTTATTACTCGCCCGGAACGATTAAACGCAAACCAATTGGCTTAGGCACAGCAGCGAACGAATACACTTTGAAAGGGCAATACCCGAAGCAGCGAACGCGTTACGATTTCAAGTGCTAAGAAATCAACTGGAATTAAACGCAATTACGCGAAGCGGATGACGTGGGATAGAGCCGGCTAGTTGTTGCTGGTTACCCGGCAAATTGATCAAACTGCCTTTATTTAAGTATCTCTGTCCGTCACATGTCCCTTCGGGTTCGAGGTCGAACGTATCAGCTTCTCTGATAAGCTACACCTGTTACATCGTGCATTATCAAAGTCAAATCGTTCGGACGATGCACAGATCCGATGTTCACTGAATCCCGGTAAAAATCGAGATTTGGCATGCGACACGTGAACTTGCACGCGATATGAAAAATGGATGTTCTTCCGATATTTTTATACCCCTCCGGTATTATGCACAGATGATATATCGAAACATTTTAAAAATACATAAGAATGAAATATTTCGCGAACGTCAAGTTCCGACAACATTGATAATAAATCTGAAGTACGACACGCAATTTTACAATGGCACAAACGTTTGTCAAAAATGTGACACGTTTAATAAATTGAATTTTATTTATGTCAATATGATAGCGTTTAGAATGTTACACACAACTCTAATATTTATAATATAAAATGTTAATTGTCAAAAATCTAAGCTAGATATTTTTATTTTTCTTAAAAAGTTGGGCTTAATAAAAAATTACTTATTTTTAATATTATTTGAAATATAATTCTATTCTATCCTCTCACATGATGTCCACATGTCTTCTTTCTTTTCAATCTAACCTCTGTTATACGAACAAGTAAGACAAGTTCGGGAAACCGTTGTCAAGAATGCATCGGGTCAACGAAAAGCTGCATGCAAAGGAAGAAACGCACAAAACAAGAAATTTACGAAGAAAGCGGGTTTGCGCACTCAAAGAAAGAGTCTGCGAATGGAGAAAGACAGAGAAAGGCATCGCAGTTACCATACAAAAATACAGTCGTCCTTGTCCACGTCAAGAACAGATCTTTGTTCGGAGGGTGCAAACTAAAGGACAGAAAACTCATGACACGACCAGCTGTTCAAATCACGGGGTTTGCCTTGATGCATGCACGGCGTATTGACACACTCTCTACCTTGGTTCATTTTATACTACAAAAAATAGCCGACAAATTTTTGTGAATGAAAAGAAAAAGAAGTGAAAATCAAACAGAAACGAAAGTCAAACAGAGACATTTAATTCGGTGTACAATCTATCTGTCATTTTATGTCCAACTTGAGCTATTTTCAAATAAAATTGACATGAATACGTTTCGAGTCACAAAAAACTAAATTATATAAAATTACACGATAAAAAATTATATAACAATTAACACCAAAAACAAAGATATGAAAAAATAATTGTATAGAAACAGAAGAATTTGAATTATTTAAGTTTCGTAAATAATGAGAGCATTGTATTATTGAAAACAGATTTTGAATTGAATATTTTTTAAGATCAACTTTTTCCATAATAATCCGCTTATTATTTTCGCTTATATTGCAAATAAAAGGTTTTAAAAGCGCGCTCGTTAACATGTGAAAACAACTTGTCATGCTATTGGAGAAAAACAAAACAATTTTACGAAAAATATTCTGCTAATTTGCATTATTAAAGCTTGTTACGCTTCTAAACGTTATGTTTAAAAAAAATCGCTGATTGTTTAACAGATAAACTCTGATTAAATATTCAACATTTTTTAATGAAATATCTTTTTGTTTGCTATTGTATGTCAAAAATAATGTCAAATTATACTTCGAATGGACTTATCCATACTATCGATATAGCCGAATATGACTAGGGCTATGATTAATTGGAGAAGAACATGAAATCACTTAGCAAAGATCAGTGAACGAATTTTGTTTACGTATCTTATTTTCGATGCAAGCAGAAATGCTGCAGAAGCAAATTTTCATAAACGCATAACGTAATACGTAAATAATGGAGTCAATAGGTATAAATGTCATTATATAAATGTGCAATATTGCAGATTTCTTAAAAAGCTGCTGTGGGGATATCCTGCAGCGTCTCGCTTTTCTAGAAGATTTAAAAGAGTTCGCGAGAAAAATATTAAACGTGGGCATGCTTGGCATGCGGTATCTATACATATGTTTTTGACATTTCACATCCGGCAGCATTATCATGCTATCGCTACCGATGTTGACGCTTGATAAATCGGCCGATTCGAGGTACCGGCGGTGCCAAATAAACAAGACTGACACCGAATAATACAGCCGTGATCGAGTCGATTCCTCGACTCCCTTATTCAGGAAAAATCGCGAGGCCCGCGAGTAGGAACGTCGCGCGATTGCATGCTCGCTCGCTCACTCGCGTACGCGCCCTCTCCTTCTGTCTCTCTCGCTCGCTCGCACGTTCCTTCTCGCTCGTATCAATCATCCTAAGCGGGTGGTTATCTTACCTGTGTGCTTCTCCGTTTTTGGCGTGGAGGCCATCGTTACCCGGTACGTCGTTGCGTGCCGCGGATCCCACTATCTCACCATTTCCGCGCACCGCCGCATCGTGAACTACGCGCTGGAGGCTGCCGCGGCGTTTTCAGTCTGATGTAAACCCGACGCGCACCGCTACATCTTCGTTTGTCGGCCATTTTTCGGGCAGGCGAGCGCGCGCGGCCCGCCATCGGACGGCCAGGACGTGAACCGAGGTCGCACTTATGGCGGACGCGCTGTCAATCGCGTGACACTTCACTCCGGTCGTTTGTAGACAACAAACATTAATACGGGTTGACGACGAACGTGATTGTTGTGGCGTGCGTGCACGCGTCTCACGTGCGAGACGAAACGCGAGGACGAGAAACGCGCGTATGTCACTATACTCTGCACTGTGCACGATAGGATATCGTCCGATAACAATAACAACGACGACGACAACGTTACCGCACTACGAAGAGCTCGTCGGCGAAGCGAACCACCAGACGCACCACGCCGGTACAGTGGCGCGCAAAAGTTGGCGCCCTGATTGTACAGTCTGTGTAGTGAACTAATTCTTTCTATCGCGCGCCGTTTCACAGTTACTCACAAGAATTCGCGCTCCTTGCGGAACATTTCGAACTATTTGAATGCGGGACGTCGTGGTTTTTTTACTGTAAAAAACATATACAAACATCTTTGATCATTATGTAAAAAATCAAATAAGAATTCAATCTTATTCAATTCAGTTAAATTATATTCAATTTCGAGCGCAATTTTCACGAAAATTTGGAATGAGTTATCTAAGCGACAAATAACAAATACCACCGTTGAACGCGTTCATTTCGAAAGGCGGCACTCCAAATTTGTTTATGATAGATCGATACGATAAATTAATATTTTTGCAACACTCTAATTGCCATAGGGGAAGACCCGCACGTTATCGTCTACGAAGGCATTGGCACTGATGCGAAATGGGCAACTCAGGCTTAAAGCAACACTACGAAACCGCGAAGAAGACTGGCACGCTGAAATTGTCACAGCGTAAGTTGGACGAGTTTCCACAGAACCTCCGTGCCTTGGCACCGTTGCTGCGTACCCTGGATCTATCAGAGAACAAGTTTACCGCGTTACCGAATGAGATCGGCGATTTCACGTTACTGAAACAGCTGAACATCAGCCACAACCGGCTGACCGCCTTGCCCGGCACGCTGGGCACGCTAACGAAATTAGAGGGTCTAAATTGTACCGCGAATCAAATCAGCTCGATCCCGTCGTCGCTGTCGCAACTAAGTCATCTGAAACAAGTCAATTTGTCCGACAATCAGATTTCCAACTTCCCGTTGATGCTATGCGGCCTTAAGCACTTGGACATGCTGGACCTGTCTAAAAATCGACTCACAAACGTGCCGGATGCTGTCGCCGGCCTCCACGTGACCGAACTAAATCTCAATCAGAATCAAATTACCACGATTTCCGAGAAGTTGGCGGATTGCCCGCGATTGAAGACGCTACGTTTGGAGGAAAACTGCCTGTTGCTGAACTCGGTGCCACTCAAGATTCTCAAGGAGTCTAAGGTTTCAGTATTGGCGCTCGGAGGGAATCTTTTTGAGATGAAGCAGTTTGCGAATTTGGACGGTTACGACACTTATATGGAACGTTTCACAGCAGTCAAAAAGAAGATGTTTTAAAATTGGATTTTTTAGTGCTGTTGAATCATTTAGTGGGATTATTTACATTATGTTAAAATTTTCAATGATATTACATTGACGATATCAAAGAGAAAAAGATTTAATTCATTTAAATACATTTAATATCTTCAGATGTAATTTTGTTACCAGTTTAAGAAAAAGCAACTGATATAAAGACAAAAAACAAGATTGGATTGGATAATACATTTAAATAACATTTATATAAAATTTTACAATTTGAAATTGGAGATAACTCACAGTATAAATAGATAATTTATAAATAATTGTAATCAAGAAGAATACGTATAGCAATTTTTCAGAAAAAATTTTGATAAATGTTAACGATGAAAGTGTTAAAGCACGATTACTGATTCAAAGAAATAATATGATTAATAACAATCGCAATTTTCTTATTTTTTACTTTTCATGTTAAAATAAATTTGAATATGTATACACACGAATATACACGTTTAAAAATTCTGTACACAATATCTAAAGAAATGTTTAATTTTTTTTAAATGTAATCTTGTGTAAATATATATTAATAGACCGATAATCACGGAATTATACGCACTGTTATCTATGGCATTCTAAGAATTAAAATGTATATATTATGTGTCAACATCTTCCACTTCAAATTTTTCTTTTGCAAGATTAATACATGATTGATAAATTTAAATCAATAATGATAATTTGCAAATATGATAATTATTTGAAATAACAAAGTGCACTCATGTTGTGTGCATTCAGATACTCAGATTATAAAACATTGCTATCTTTATAATGTACAAATAAACAAAATGCAGTTTTCATTTTTATAAATTTTTCAAAATTAGACGTGTATAGCATTTAAAATATGATACCAGAATCAATTAACTTAGAATTGCAGATAGAAATTAATAAAAAAGTATAAATTGCATAAGAAGTTAATTATTCCAACAGAAGAGAAATTCTAAGAAAAATTTGATTTACAATTTTTGTGCTATTACAGCATAATAGATATATGCAATATGTGATCTTACAATTAATAAAACCTTGTTGACAAAGTTTCATAAGTCGGGAACTATAATATCTAACATCACTTATTGTTAGATCCGTGAAATATATTACAAGTTACCAAGCATATTTACTGCGTTTAAGAACACATTTTAAATTTTGAATATTTGTCAAATTATTGTGTATATTTATAATGTGAATGTGCGCGAGTTTATTGCATTGTATAATATCTGTATTAAAAGAACTTCTATGTCAAAGTTTACGAGTTTAATAAATCGTATATCTATTTTTATCCTATGAATCAGTTGTAAAAAAACAAATTAAAAATTTCAAAGCTTAAATGCAATTTTTAACCTATTAAAACCGCACAATTATATGTTTTACTTAACCATTTTTAATTATTTAAAATATTTGATGTGTTACTATGTGTTTAAAATTTAAAGCGCTTCTCTTCATTTGGTGATATCATAAAATTAGACATACTTAAATAATGATCAAATAATTGTACTCACCAACTATAATTTGCTTCATCCGTTGCAAATTCCGTTTTAGCTTACTCCGCGTCACCTCCATCGAAGAATCGATGAATATTGAAAATCCACACTTGTTAGTTGCATGTATTGTCTTCGAACGAAAATCGATCTCTACACTTCACTTTACACCACACATTTCACATCAAGCAATAATGACTTCGCGAATTTGTCATACCGAGATACATAAAACATAAACACGAAATAAAAAACATCTTGTGTCGCAATGCATCCATGCATAAAATTATTATTTTATACATTCGGCGACGTATGCCTAGAGCGAACGAAATAAACAATGACTGTCTCAGCAATCACGCGGAGATCGTTAAATATAAACACGCACATAGTATATTTGTAGTTGTTAAAAGTTGTTGTCGTCGAGACCGTAATCAAACTACATGTAGCGATCAACGAAACGCTATTAATTGCGACCACTCGCGGTAAATAATATATTCCTGTAATCACTTGTCACATTCAATCGATGCTCTTGACAAAAATTCGCATTTATTATGCACTTTTAATGAATAAAATATGAGATTTTTTGTAGAATATTCGCGCTCTGCGTTCCGAACCGACTTGCTAATGGAATAAGACTGCCACGGCGACTGAAAGATGGCGCTTGTGTCGTCAATATATCGATATCGACATTATGTGTGCTTTCCATGTAGTATCAATATCCAACATTTGTATCAAGTTATTAGCTGTTGTCATTAAATAATGCGAAAAAGAAAACAAAATACTTTAAAGAAAAACTGTATCGCGTAATTTTGTAATCTGAAATACAACTGAGAATTTTTATTCATAAGCATTGTTATGGAAAATGTAATACTACTCTAATGTTTGAGATGTTTGTACTTTATAAAAGTAATGTAATTAGCAAAGATTATAAGTTTTTAAATAATAATTTCGATCGCTCGTATTTGTTATGCTAGTTTATACGATTAAACGATAGAAATATTGATTGTTTATGTTATGTCTATAGCATAATAGGAGGCCCAAATGATAATCACCTCCGGCTATTTTGACTCAAGGGCCATGTTCCAAACCGAATATAATTTCTAATGCAGTTGATTATTGTAACATACAACCTAGAAAATTATCTGTCACTCGTAGATAAAATTTGGATTGTTTACTTCGTGCTCTTTTGATTCTGTCCGCGAAACTTATGATACTTGTGACTTATAAAATTAGAATTCAGCCGTCTGTTGAACTTTGCGTGAGAATATCATCAGTTTCGTGTGCCGCGTAAATCAGTGTGAGATTCGTCGTTTTCTCGCAAACATAATATTATATAAAAAATTGTTTTTAAAGAAAAAAATTTAATGCAGCTGTTCCATAAAAAAATGAATAAAAAAATTGGATTGATGTTGCCGAAAGGGCTCTTCGCTCTCTCAATACATCCCTACGCTCTGCGCAGTGTCGCCTCGCGATGGCGCGCTTGATCCCCGTAGTGGCCCTAGCAAGTGTTTCCCCGAACATGGCGGACCGTATTCGTTCGAATTTCCATAGGACACAATGAACGTGCGCCAAGTTCACCGCGGTGATGCTGATAACTGAGGACGTGTGGTGATCGTGCGGCCCGGCCTACGAGGGTGCCCGGGGTGTCGTCGTGATCGGCGCGGTAGCGCGCGTGTCGACGTGTCGCCGTTCGGAGCCCGTGAAGCTAGGCTTTTGCCGCCGTTGTCGCCGCGAGTGCGCCGAGAGCGAGAGCGAGCCGACCGTGGCGGGGCCCCCATAGTTGTGTAAATGGCTGACCAGAGTTGGAGAATGAGGCCCGCACGTAGCAGCGCGTGATTCCACGGCCAAGACGCTGAGGTACGACGAGCGCGCCCACAACCCGGGCCATGCCGCGGCGCGCCGGGCCGGATGAAAGTTTATTTACGACGCGCAGCGACCAGCAGAACGCGCAGCTTCGTCCTTGTGTCCAGAAACATCACCACCGTGTTCCGCGAGCACCGCCCCGGTACCAGAAGCCGATCATCCCGGGGTTGACGGTCTCTCTCTCCGTCTCTTTCTTTCTCTTCTCGTCCTTATTTTCCGCCCTGTCTGCGCCGTCCTCGATTGATTGGGTTAACGCTATTAGGCTCGTTTGTCGCGCAAGGATCCATGAGTCTTGCGAGAATGAATTTGTTGACATTCCTCGATTCGTCGAATGAGGATCTTGACGATGCATTCGTGAATATCGCATCACGCGATCGACTCCGGGCAGCATCACGGCGCTCTCTCCTTCGACGGTGAGAGTGAATGCGCCGGACTGTTTTTTAATGAGATGCCGATCATATGGTCGCGATCGTTTTCCTAGACCGCGACCGCGTTTCCGTGCGTCGACTCGCGTAACGTTTTTCACCGTGGCAGGTGGCGACGAACGGCATGACGATTTTCGATTTATCTCGCACTTTCCGAGACGAAGAAACTCGTTCAAATGTTTCTTGAGCGTCGATGGTGATCAGATGGTGATGTCCTGGACTGAATTGTATGTTGCTATTAATTTTTTCCGAAATAAGTTTTTAGATCATAATTTCGATAAAATATTTTCGATAATTTTAATATTTATGTACAATTTTAATAATATTATATGCATATAAAATTAATTACATAGATTAGCGTATAATAACAGCAACATAAATATTAATTTTTATAAAATCAAGATACGTTCAACAATGACTTTTTTCACGTACTGCATTTATGTCTATATTTAAAAAATTTTTAATACACAATAGAAATTGATATATATTTTACAGAAAATTGTATATAAGACTTATATTTAAAATAACCTCTTTCTTCCTTTCTTTGTTGATATATTTATATTGATATTTAGTTTGGGTGAATTTTGAGTGCTTAAAAGTTTGATTAGTTTTAAGAGAGAGAGAGTTTTTTTTACTATAAATAAAACACAAAATTTATACTACACCATTTGTGATCTAGAAACAGGGTAGAAAATGTCAGAACCTGAGGAAAATCTGGCAGCGCCCGATAGCACCACAAGGGAACAGCGTGTTGGCTTTTCCCATGGAGATGATGTTCTTCAACATCAAGATGGCAAATTTTACCTTGGTACAATTGTCGAGGTATAAATAAATTTCTACTTTTTATTAGAAAATTTGGATTTAAAGTTGATGGTATAGCAATATGAAAATTATTTACATAGGTGGACTTGGCAAGGGAAAGATGTCTTGTCAATTTTATGGACGGCACATCTTCCTGGTCCTCGTTTAAAGAGTTGACAAAGTTAGCTATGCCAGACTCGGATGTTATGTGTGTCCTTTGCAAAATATCTCAGCCTAAGACTGACGATGACATTATTGTATGCGACAAGTGTGGTCGTGGTTATCATCAAATGTGTCATGAGGTATATATAAATCTATTTATTTGAGATTGCAGAAATAAATTTGTTTGTGAACAGAAATCTTTTGTAAAAAAAATTACTTGGTAACAAGCAAAGTTAATAAAAAAAAAAATATACATTTGCAGCCTCAAATACCAAAACAAGAGCCAGGTGTAAATACTCACTGGATGTGCAAAAGATGCACAGATAGCAAGATGCGTTTGCGTCAATTTGGTGAGCCAAAAACTTCTATGGTTAAAGCAAATATCAGAAAAGTTTGCAGCGGTAGGGACCAACCTCCACCACCACCAGATGACATGAAAAAGTTGCCATATGATGTAAGATATAAAGATAAAATATTTATTGTTAATCTGGACGATAATTGTGTGACATTTTATAAAAAACAATGTATTCTAAATTATAGAATTTAAAAACAAAAGTAACAAATATCTGTTATCATTTCAGCCTGATATGTTAAGCTGGGATGCACATCACAGAGTGAATGCCGAACAAATTTATTGTTATTGTGGACTTAATGGCGAATGGTATGCACAAATGTTGCAATGTGCTCGTTGTAAGCAATGGTTTCACGAGAAGTGCATCAGATGCTTAACTCACCCCTTATACAGTGGTGATAGGTAAGTACAAATATAAAAGGGATAAAAATTATATTGAAATTTAATTATATATGAATGTATATATTATTTTCTGTATGTACTATTATTAATTAATTATTCATGATTCTTATAGGTTTTATGTGTTTGTTTGTTCAATGTGCAATTATGGGAAGGAATTTGTTCGACGTTTGGAAATGAAGTGGGTAGATCTGGTGCACCTGATGTTGTACAATCTGACTGTTTATAATGCAAAAAAGTATTACGACTTGGACACTGTTATTATACCTTATGCAAATGATAATTGGCACACCTTGCAGCTTCCACCACGGGTAAGTCTTCAGCAATCTGTGAAACAGTGAGATATAATATTTTAATCACAGTATTTGATGATGTTGGTGCTACAATCTCGTACAATTTCAGATTAGGGACGTTAGTGCTCAAGTACGCAGAGTAACAATATTGGCAATGTTGACAAATAATAGAAACAGGTTCAAGTGCGGTAGGGAAATAAAGAAGCGCACTACAATATGGGGCCTCCGTGTCAGACTGCCACCGCCGTGTCCGGTCGTTAATCTTCCAGCATCGGGTGAAATCGATGATTCAGTCTTGCGTAGATGTTGGGGTGCTAATAAAAGACTGCAGTATCTTCCTCCACAAACAGGGTTAATACATCATAATTATTATTAAATACACGATTACAGGTTTACAGCATACATGTATTTATGTTTGTGCAATATAGAAAACTTGATCATTTCAGTCCTGTGAGTTTCCCGGAAAATACAAAACAATTGATCGCATTGAGGCAAAGAGTAGCTGAGAATGTAGAAATTCCTGTGAACCCTTCAGATCTGGTCATGCGAGGTACACTTTATCAAAATTCGGAAGCAGAACAGAGCTCGTGTCCAAGTCCAAGTCCACCCAGTCAGTCCACACAGTCTTTACGAGAAAGGTAGTTATTTGCGGTCTAAAAATTATTTTTTTTTTAACAATAATAAAAATTTTAATTTTAACACGTTGAATGCCAGACCTAATGCGCTCGACTCTCCGTCTACGCCGGAGTGAAATGCCATGCTTCGATCCTACATACATCAGTATATGTAATTCTATTTAAGTTTATTAAATTAGAAATAAAAGTATTTACATATTTATATGTGCACTCGTTATTTTAAACCACTACTTTGATATTATATTTACAGAATTACAAATGTTATTGTTTAGAATTTTATGTATTTTTGAGTCTGGTAGCATCGGTCATAGATGACCGGCGCAGCGCAGCTGAAAGTTACAGTGTCAATCATCGGCACGGCATTCAACGTGTTAATTTCATTATGTATGCGCGACATTTCATAGACAGATGTTATTCTACATTTTAATGAATCTTTTATTAAATTTCTTGCAGATATAGCGGCGGCGGTTTTGTAAAGAAATCATTCCCATTTCCTAAGTTGAGTTTACAGAGAAGACGTCGTCTAATGGTGTTAGGTAGTTCACGAGAAAGAATGTTACGTAAACACAAGAAGAGGGAGAAGAGTGGAGATAATGCTATGGGAAAATCGCAGGGAGTTCGAGAAGCAAGATACAGAAAAGCGAGAAAACTGCTGAAAAACGCCATTGCCAAGGTAGAAATAAGATTACATGTATATGTAAGGATTAGATTCATGTATAAAGATATCGAGTTAATTCGAAAATAATTTCCACTGCAGATAACAATATATAATGTGTTTTTAGAAAACGAAACTCGTTTATGAATCAACCTAATATATGATAAGATATGACAATTTTCCGTCATTTATCATTTCCGAAAAAAACTAAAAAGAATTGATTGGCTATCGCGTTGCTTCTCACAGCGTGGAATGCATTGTTAATAATTATTTTCTCTTTTTAATACAGAGCAAGTCGCGAAGTTCAGAAGCGTCCGATTTGCCTCCCACGCCACCAACTTCCGTTTCTGGACCACCGACGCCACCAGCTGCAACGTCAGGCATGTCGGAGCTGTCTGTGCCTAGCTCCGTGGATCTGATGCATCCTATGCCACTTTCGACACCCGCGGACACAAGCGGAGATGAGACCAGTTCCAGAGGTACTCTTGATTCTTTTATTCCACCGCCGAAAGATTTTGAAGGGAAGAACAATCCGTTTAGCGATTTGGTGGGTACGCCTTGCGGTCTTAATCAAGCGAATTCGAGCACGCCGTTACCTTACAATCAGTGTCCTATTACCTTGCCTCTGCCACTAACGCCTGTGATTTCGCAACCGCCGGTGGTGCGTCCAGCCAAGAGGCAGCTATCGGAGAAGGATATTATCGTGGACAGAAACGGACAGGTAAAGCGCAGGAGGCAACATCGCGGACGCGGACGTCCACCGCAACAGCAGATACAGCAACAATTTCAGCATACCGCCAGCAAGACGGCGGCCATTCTACCGGCACGCAATAACGAAGTTAAAAGTGAATTCGTCAGGAATTTAAGAAGTTCGTTTAATGGTGCCTCGAGCAGTGCAAGTAGTCAAATTGGAAATTGTGTGGATTATGCCTTAAATGGTAGGAGGTTGAGACAGCGGCAGAATAATGATAAAGTATCTCCTCCCGATCCGCAATCGCAAAGAAAGAGCAGCATGCCTTCATCTCCAAAGTGTTCGCCTGTGAAGCAAAGTGCGCCCGACATATCCCTGGATGATCTGAAGTCATCAGTGAATATTTACTTCGGCGCAGCTAATAGAATAGCTGCCGGTGAAAAGTTTGTCATCAAAGCGAAGAGGATAGGGCCGAACGGTCAGACACAATACCTCATCGAATGGGAGGGACTCAATACTTAACGGTAAATAATCAGCTTACGATGAATATATCGCAGTCGTATACAAATTTTAAGTTGACAGTAGGTGTAAGGTGGCGCGATCAGCCGCCGACACCTTGTAATCGATTCTCGGTGTTTTATAGCAAAATGATTGTGATCGATTGTTTTGCGTTACATGCACTGCCACTTGTTACGTACATTTCATAAAAATGTATGTATTTATCGGCGTAGAATATGTGAATGTTCTTGTAAATGTACATTAAGTTTCATTGAATCTGAATCACGCGAATACTTTCGTTATGATCAATAGATCAATAGACTTTGTTATTAAATCAATGATTTTACATTGCCGTTTATTTTAGATCAAATTAGATAATAACTTACATGGACGATGATCATATATATGATTATAAATTATAATTTAATATTTTATATAATCAATAATGTTAAATTATAAATATGTTAATTATAATTAATTATATAATATTGTCTATAATTATATATAATTATATATTGTATATAATTATATAATATTTTATATAATTATAATTAACTTAAATATTAATATTAAAT